GATGTTGTGGTGATGGGAACATGAACTGAGGCAGCATGGTAAAAATGTGGAAAAAGAATCAGAGATGAACGATGTTGAGGTAATGGGAACATGAACTGAGGCAGAATGGTAAAAATGAGGAAAAAGAATGAGAGATGAAAAATGTTGAGGTAATGGAGTTTAGATAGTTAGTGACTGGTTACATGTGAGGAGACAAGGAAAAGGCGCTTGGTGGTAGGTTGACTAGGTTCTGTCTGATGTAATATGGATGGTGCTGCTGCTCACTGAGACCGAAACTGCAGAAGGGACAGGAAAGGTGATGAATTCAGGTTGAGTTTAAGGGGCCTGTAGAAGGAGGGACATGCATTTGGAGCTGTCCAAACACACCTGTATATGTACATGTGGGTTGGGCTACATACACGTGGGAATGATTGGCATAATAACGAAATAAATAAAGTAAGCGAGGTACCTAAGTCATTAAGTAAAATAAATGGATAGTAACTAAAATGTATGGCAGTGAGTGGGACCACTGAGGGAGGAATGTGAAATGGAAAGATGAATGAACAGCAGAATGTAAAAGAGAGAAGCTGAGAGAGTATCAACACCTGAGGAGCAAGAGGAATGAAAGATTCCAAAAGGAGCTACCAGGGATGAAATAGCAGAGAGTGGGTGGGAGCAGGAATCTCGGACAGAGGCATCAAGGGTGTCAAGAGACAAAAAATGCAAAAGCAATGGAAAATTCAAGTAATAGAAGAGACAATAAATTCGAGAGTAATGAAAAAGTCAATGATAGTAACTGTGAGTTTTCAAAAACAACGAACAACAAATACTGCAGAGAGTTTAAGTAAAGGGAAGACTGAAAATGATTCACAATTTAGTAATAAGGAGGAAACTATTTAGTTTTGATAGCAGTGGTTTGAAAAAGAACTGATGGTTAAAGGATAAAATAAATAATTTAAGTCATTTTCTCTTTTTCTTTCTCTCTTTTTTTGAAGATAAAATGGGTTATTGCTGAGGTACTATAGGGTTAAGTGAAAAATTTTAAGAATTATTTTTTTAGATGTGGGATTTTTTTTTTTTTTTGAGATGTAGTCTTGCTCTATCACCAGGCTGGAGTGCAGTGGTACAATCTTGGCTCACTGCAACCTCTGCCTCCCGGGTTCAAGTGATTCCCCTGCCTTAGTCTCCAGAGTAGCTGGGACTACAGGCTCGGGCCACCATGCCCGGCTAATTTTTTATATTTTAGGAGAGATGAGGTTTCACCATATCGGCCAGCATGGTCTTGATCTCCTGACCTCGTGATCTGCCTGCCTTGGCCTCCCCAAAGTGCTGGGATTACAGGTGTGAGCCACCACACCTGAACGGTAATTCAGTTTTTGTAAAGGTTAAAAATAGTTGTCCTAGGCCAGGCATGGTGGCTCACGCCTATAATCCCAGCACTTTGGGAGGCTGAGGCGGGTGGATCACCTGAGGTTGAGAGTTTGAAACCAGCCTAACCAACATGGAGAAACCATCTCTACTAAAAATACAAAATTAGCTGGGTGTGGTAGTGCATGCCTGTAATTCCAGCCTCTCGGGAGGCTGAGGCAGGATAATCGCTTGAACCCGGGAGGCAGAAGTTGCTGTGAGCCAAGATCATGCCCTTGCACTCCAGCCTGGGCAACAAGAGCAAAATTCTGTCTGAAAAGAAAAGGAAAAAAAAAAAAAAAAAAAGAAAAAAAGGTTGTCCTTATGAATACATTTGGAAAGCTTCCAATGAAATAAAGTGTATCTATAACACACTTATAGTTTCTATTAGTAACTATTACTAATAGTAGCTGTATGCTCCCAAATAAGCTGTGTAAACTCCATAGGCCTCAGTTCCCCACCTGTAAAATGGGGTAATAATATCTACCTTATAGGGTGTTTGTGAGGCTAGATGAGAACATTCGTATAAGACATTTTTCTGAGTAATTCAAGAAATTTGAGCAAT